ATGGGGGTGTTCGGGTGCTCCCTCCCCTCCTGCGCCATCCCGGGGCGCTTTGAGCTCGTAGTTGCTTTTTTTCCCCTTATTTTGCTGTAAATAATACGCTCCCCCTCGCTCCCGGCAGCGGGCCCCGGGAGGCTCGGGCCCGGCTGCTCCTGGTGCTGCGGGGGTTTTAGGGGGTCTCCGGCAGCTCATCCCGATGTCCCCACCCCAAAACCGGCGGTCCCGGGGGCTGCCAGACCCCCCGGCAGCCCGGGGGGACCTGCCCGGGTCGCCTCTCCCATCGGGAACCCCCCCGAACACGGTGCTCCACGCGTGGGGAAACTGAGGCACGGATGCTCCAGGACACCCGGGGGTGTCTCGGGCACTCCCCGGCTTGGGGGACACAAAGCGGGACCCCCTTTTTGGGGTCGGAAAAGATGGGAGAAGTTGGGATGCCTCGTGTCGCACGGCTTTTAGGGGGTCACCAAGAGGACACACAGCGTGTGTCCCCCCCTCCCCGGGGAAATTTGGGGAGGGGGGGGCATAGAGACGGCTACCCCGAGACTCCAGCCGCCGATTAATTACATTCATGAATTAATTGCGAGGCAGGAAAGGATTACGCAGCCCCCAGAGCTTCGGGCAGTCAGATGATGGGGGAGAAAAAAAAAAAAAAAAAAAAAAAAACACACCCAAAAAAAAACCCCAACAAAAACTAGAAACACGAAGAAAATCTGGTGGTTATTGTGCTCTTGTAAGATAAATAAATAAGCCGGTGCGAGTCCGGGGAAAGCAGGGCCCGTTTCCAGGAATCCCGGCGCTCCTGCGTGTTCCCGGCCCTTGGGGCACTGGAGGGAGTTGGTGTTTTTTATATAACAGAGTCCGGCAGGCAGCGAAGGGAGGGTTTGGGGGGTTATTTTTTCTCTACCCCCACCCCTTCTCTGTACTTCCCTGCCGTGTTTGCTTGGCTTCATGCACGGCTGCTCCGGCCGGAGCTGGGAATGGGGCTGGTTTCTCCCAGCCTGCGCTCGCTCACCTGCTGCAGGAGGGATCCGGCTGGGAAAACCGCGCTGGGGAGCGGTGGGAATTTGGGATTGGGGTGGCTGGAGTTGGGAAACAACCCAGATTCGGGTGGGGATGGTCAGGCCAGCACGTGGAGGGGAGCCCGGTGTTTTCCGAGGGATGCTGGGTTTGCTTCCTGAGGGATTCTGGGTTCGCCTCCCGAGGGATGCTGGCCCGGCGTGTTTTCCAGGGGATGCTGGCCTTGCCTGCCCGCCCTTATCAGGAGGAAACTGCGCCGGGGTGGAGCTGGCTGCAGCGGGGCCATCCAGCATCCGGGTGTTTGGGATGGAGCCGTGATTCCAGCCAGGGATTTTATTGCTTTTTCCACGCTTCACGGCACCGACTTTGCAGCACGTGTGTGTTCCTGGTCCGCCCTGCCCTGC